GGGGCTGTGTGGAGTGTGGGGGTCAGTGGTGGCCAGGACAACCTGTAGAGAGTGCTGTACCTGCTGAAATGTGCCCACCCCACCCGGGAGCTACTTGGCTTTCATTCCCACGCTACCTGGTTTGTGAGGGAACCGTCGATGCTGGCTAATTCACTGGCTGAAGCTGAGCAGACAGTGAACTCCAAAGTTCAGCTTTAATGAGCCACTTTCACTCCCAGGTTCCCCTAGTAGGTGGCATCAGAAAAGTCTCCAGAGGGGACCAGGCCCCCAGCTGGTTCACAGCTCATGCCCTGAGTTTGTCCTGCCTGTGAGCTGGGCTAGACATCACGTTGGCTTAGACAACACGCTGGCCACTTCCTCTGCTCCTGGAGACGTGGTTGGGCCATTCTGCCCCTGACCATGTATGGCCCGCTTCTCCCAGGCCTCACGGTACCTCATGATGCCAAGGGCTTGGGCATCAAGCCAAGCTGTCTCATTCCTCCCACACACTAGAGTGGGCTCCAGCGGGAGATGCCCTCCAGAACCTTCCTTCTCAGCTGACTCTGCATCTGGGGGTTCGGGACAGCAGGGCCGCACTGTCCCCAGCTCAACCACCTGGTTCTCACAGCTCCCTGAGGCTTATCTCCTCACAGTGAGCAGTCTGCCCTAGAGCTGGTTATAACAGATTTCCTGGCCCACCCAGGCTTGCTGACTTGAGTGTGATTTAACAAGATGTTCAGGAGATGCTTCCTGGTCCACTGGAGTCGAGGTGCATGGACGGCTTGGGCCGCACCCTGCCTGCTCTCCCAGATTACCTCAGTGGCGCTCTGCTCCCTCAAAGCTTGGCTCCTGGCATAATTACTGCAATTATCACGTTGGACTCATTCCTGGTTTCACTTGCTCCCTTTGGCCCCCTTAATTTAAGTATTTGCATTTTACTCTAATGCAGCTATTATAACCGGAGCCCTTCCGGAGCCTTCCCAAGGCCAAGTGACACAGTTTGGTCAGGATGGCCCAGGCGCTTGAACACAGCTCCCCCAGAGCCGTTTCCAGCCCTAGCACTGTTTGCAGGTGAGGAGCCCATGCTCCGAGGTGCTAAACAGTGGGCGAGCTGGAGAGGGGGCGGCGTGACCGGGGATGTCCGCTTGCTGAGCCACCTGGACATTGTGATCAAACAGGACAGTCGTGCTGAGAGGAGTAGAGGCTGGCAGGGCGCAGGCCTGTGCTGGCCTGAGGTTTCCCACAGTTGCCTGTGGCCCTGCCAGCTGCTTCAGTGTGGTGGAGCCCCAGGCCCAGCAGGGAGGAAAAGGAGAAAGCAAGGAAGAAAAGCAGTGGCCCAGGTCTCTGTGCGCCACAAGAGCCCCTGGGTGACGCTGGGGCCAGCTGCTTCCTCTGGGGAATCCACCCTGGGTTTCCAGGTCACACTGGCCACTCCTGGTCCATCCGGCAGCCTTCCCTCCGCCCCACAAACACTGAAGCAGCTGTGGCTCGGTGAGGGGAGGATGCTGGGGACCTGGTGTCCTGGCCTGGGCTTTGAGGAGAGGAACTCCCATCGGAGGCGGTGCTGAGGGGGCAGGCACACTGATTCTAGACTCGTTCTCGCAGGGTCCTGCTTTAAGGCTCTACCCTGCCAGAACCTGCCCACCACCACCAGGCCCAGTCACACCGCCCTGGCCCATCTTCCTTAGCCACAGTTGTCTTGGGTTGAGGGTTTGTTGTTGTTGCTTGTTTATTTATTATTTAGACATTGGGTCTCATGTAGCCCAGGCTGGCTCCAAACTGGCTCTGTGGCTGCGGAGAAACTTAAATTGTAATTATCTTGCCTCAGCCTCCACAGTGCTAGAACAGCGAGGGTGGGCACTCACCTTAAGTTCTGGAACAAAGTCACACCTGTGATAACCTGCTACCAGGCTGATATGATCAGAATGCCGGGGATTGTGGAGAGTTGGAATGTTGCAGGTCCAGATCAAAAGGCTCCTGGGCCACTTTAGCCCGGTTAACAGCCACCAGCCACGTGTTGCTCACCTCTGTGTGGGGCCTGTTGGTGTGAACAGCTCTGGCTCCCTCCACGCCCAGCCCAGCAGAGACAGACCCGCAGAGGCTCCTAGGGCTGCAGCTAGGCTGCATGCACCCTGCCATGACCCACGGTGACCCGCCCATTTGACCTTCCTGCTTCTTAGAAACAGGTGTTCATTCATGCCTTTCTGTGTTCTGGGCCATAAAACCCCCATGAAATTGTGACCACGCTGGCACATGGCATTAGGGGTAACCTAGGAGTAACCGGAGTCTGTTCCCGGGCCACGGTCACCAATATGTGGCTGCAGAATAACACATCGGAGGGAGCGGTGTCAGCTTCAGCACCCCTGCGGGACTCGGGGGGAGCAGGGCCGAAGCCGAGGGTGACCTGGGCGGCGCCGCTCACCCGGGACCTGCGTGCCTCAGTTTCGCTGACACCTCCTCGCAAGGTGCTGGGAGACAGAAAGAAGCCGGGCGGATGCCGAGCCGGGCCCGCCTCCCGGCTGCCGGGGCTCGCGGCGCCCGGGCGCCACCGCGCGGCCGCCCGCTGCCATCGCCGCGAGGTGCCGGTCCTCGGGAGCTCCCTGTTGTTAGGAGACCAAATGGGCATGGGGGCATGTGGGGTGGAAGAGCCCCAGACTGACTCACACACAGCCCCTCGTCCCGCTGCCCTCAGAGGCCCCCAAGCTCTGCCCTGCCTGCGCACGGGGAGAAGGGGTGGCGTTAGGAATGTCAGAGCAGGGCGAGCCACAGTCCCTGTCTCACTACCTCTGCTCTCCGGCCCATGCCAGGTGAGAGCAAGGGGCATTCAGCCCAGAGGAACTCAGGCTCCTGGGAGAGGCAGCAGGCCTATGTGGAAACAGGCTGCCCGGCTAGACCCGAGACCTGGCATTGCACTGCACGGCCGGTGAAGGGGCACAGCACGTCACAGGTGCTCCTCTGCCTGGCTGAGGCACTCTCCCACACACGGGCTCAGAGCGCGAACATTTCCACTGAAAACTGGCCCTGCAGGGCGAAGACAAGCGGTAAAACCCATGCTGGCAAGTCCCCAGTGTTTCTTAGAACATTAACAGCCAGTGACACAGTACTCAGGAGCTGTGGAGACAGCAGCTGCCTTGAGAGTCCAGCATGCTGCCTCTAGCTGAGCCCTGCAGATGGCGCTGCTGCAGGAGAGCATGTCCTCCGCGAGCAGTGAGGGCGAGCTACTGCAGCCTGGCAGCTGAGCAGAGCTCCCTGAGCATTGGAGCCACTGTTCTTCCCCAACTGTAGGAAACGGAAAGTTCCACGTCGCGGGGAGAGAGGAGGTTAACGCCCTGCAGAGCAGACACCGTGGGGCCAGCGCTAGCTCAGAAGGCTCTGGCTGTGCTCGGGCGCTGAGCTCAGCCAGAGCCACAGATTAGACGCAGTAAATGTGCTCATAATCTCTGTGAGGTGGAGGCAAGGGGGACCTGGAACCTGGGAGGCAGCAAGCCTGAGAAAACTGCGCCAGGCCAGGCCGACCCTTGTCAAAACCCAGGGAGCAGTGGACCTCAGGGTGCCCTCCAGGCTCTACATGCCTGCACACACATGAACACACACACAGACAAAAAAGCCACAACGATAAGTTTCCACAAAAGTTACACTGTATTGAAAATTTTATAAATAAGATGACTTGTTACTCATAAGCAATTGTATCCAATTTTCTAAAGTTCAAGAACATTTAAAATCTTTTTATATACACAGGATTTTATTCTGTATTGCTCTGCCAATATCATTATAGAACAAAGGAGAAAAAGAAAAAGTAGGAAAACCACCAGAGTTTCTAGCTTTCAGCAGGATTCCTCGTCCAGCAGCTGTCAGTCCCTTCACGGCAGACAAGAAGCTCGCTACATTTACACCTTCCAAGCTGCCACCGAAAGACACAGCTGCAGGAGACCCCAGGGGCTGCAGCAGTAAAGGACCCCTGGGGTTCTGCTTCTGCTAGTGCCAACACTAGAGGATTTAACAGTGTTAGGAAGTCAAAGTTGGCAAGTTACATGTCCAAGTGAGTCAACACAGCTCCAGAAAGTCAAGGACACAGAATTTTAAAATGCAGGGAGTTGGGAGACAAATGGCATTAAAAGGCTACTGACCATGTTAGCCAGCAGAACTCATTAAGGCAAATGAGCCCCTTTCCGAGGAGGTCTTGAAACTGCAGACAAACAGCAACCTTCCGGCCCTAACACAGGTGGGGGCAGCATCGTCCCCAATAACGCGCACTGTTCTCTTCTGAAGCTGCCTCAAGGAACTGCGGACAGACGGCACAGGAGGCCTGTTTTTTGTTTTGTTTTCCAGTAGCCTTAAACAGACCACCTTTCTGAAGCTAGTTCTCCAACATTAAAGGTGTTTGGGAATCACACGTGTGATCTGAAATATGAAGACTACGTGGCATTTCAGACCGCTCAGCTCATACTTGAGGGCACAGACAAGACCTCACTAATCTCATCAGTGTCCCAGAAGTCAGATGCCGACAGAGGGTCACAGACCTGCAGTGCAGTGACTACTCAAGGCCATACACAAACTGGGAGAGTGAGCAGCTCTCGGGGCTCAAGAGCGGTCTCCTGTCCCCAGGGGCTGAGGGACAATTCTAAAGACATTTGTCTCCTGATCAGCCAGCCTCATCCTTGCATTTCTTCTCAATTTCTGCGCTGTGCTCACAAAAGGCTGCTCTGCAGTCCCTGGTGGTGTCCCAGCAGGAGTTCCCTAAGCAAAAGCCTCCCCCCCCCCCCCCCCCCCCTGGTTTAACTAGCACTACGGGCATCTTGGGACTGGATGCTAGTGACAGCTTCTCATCAGCCAGTGGCCGGGGTGAGCCCAGAAACAAAGCTCTCACTGTGCCTCTGTACGGCCCTGTTAAAGTGAGGTCACGCCAGTGAGGCCACACTGGAAACTGCTTTCTGGACAGGGCCATCAGGTGAGGGGCATGTTCTTGTAGGCCTGCTGCTGAAAGTCCACAAACAGCCCAGTGTCCTGCTCATCGCACAGAGGTGCAGCTCAGAGAAGCAGACAGAGACTGTGGCAGCCGAGTCCCAGTGTCCAGTACTTGCCCAGCTCCACTCCCGCAGGCCTAGCGCATGCCCAGGATCTGCCTGCTCTTCAGCTGGTAGTTCTTTTCAATATCTGACAGGGCCTGAGCCCGCAGCTGGGCAGCATGGAGCCTCTTCTTCAGGTCCTTGCACTTGGACTTGGCGAGCTGGCTCTCGGAACGCTGGCTCTCGGAGCTCTCGCTTCGTGTGGCATTCTCTTTGCTCTCCCCATGGAAATGCACCTTTTTCTTCATCACTGAGGATGGAAGACCAGGTTCTTAGAAAAAGAAAAGGGTCTGAGTTAGCAGAGAGTACTGACCTGTGAGCTGACACCCGAGTGCTGTTCCCTGGACAACGGTCAAGATTGTGGGGTGGCAGGAATCCACCAGGCCTTTTCTTTTAAATGTTTAGCTTTATTATTTTTAAATTGCGTGCACACCCACACCCACACACATGTATATCCCTGTGTGGATCTATGTGTGAATTCAAGTCCAGAAGAGAGCACTGGACCCCTGCAGCTGGGTTACAGGTGGTGTGAGCCAGCTGAGGTGGGTGCTGGGAATTGAACTCCGGTCCCTACGAGAACATGCTCTTAATCACCAGTCATCTCTCCGGCTCCAGTTTTTATTTCTATTTATTTTGTTGTTACTGTTTGTTTCTTCGATCTGTGATCTCACTGTGCAGCCTCAGCTGTCCTTGACCTCCTGATGCTCCTGCCTCAGCCTCCTTCATAGCCAGGTTTATAGGACACACAGCTATGAGTTGATACCATGCCCCAAAGTATAAACCAAGGAACAGATGCTTCGAGTTCCTAACAACCAGCTCTTTATTCAGAGCAGGGGGTTGTGGGAAATCAGAATTTACTCCTCTCTGTCCCTGTGACAGGACCCATCACCTCCCGGAGAGGGCAGAGGCTCTTAGAGAGAACGCCCACCTGCTCAAACAGCCGAAGCAAAGCGTGACAAAGCCACCCTGAGAGACGGCGGAGTGAGCAGATGAGCTGCAGCGCGGGAGAGCTGCCCCATACACGCTGGTGACCACGCTTACTGCTGGCGCACTAGGCTGGATGTCCAGAACCTTCTTAGTGTCCCGGTGTGTGCGTCTAAAGGACACACACTTAACCACCTACTGAGTTTACATGGTGGGCCACCGTGGGCAAACAAAGGCTTCTCTAGTGACAGGCCATGAACAGGCCTGTGTGGTGCTTGTGGGGGGAGGTGAGGAAGGTGAGAGGCCCCCAGAGGAAGAGGCAGGAGGCTGGCTTCCTCCTCCATCACTGCTGTGCCGCACAGCGCATGACACGGCAGCCGCCCTCAGCACCACTGAGGCATAGCTGTCTCCCGCACTACAAACGCCGCACCTTTCTAACACCCGGCCAACAGCAGGACTACTTCGCTAACCAAAGAGACTAACTGTAATGGCACAGCCCACTGTGCAGGGCATCTCCATCTCTCCAATGTCCTGGCCTGGCTGGCACCTGCTCCCCTCCGCTCTGCAGCTCGCTGTGGCTCTGACACAGTGGTGCATCGCTCAGGACTCAAGTCTGAGCTGCAGTGAGCTCTGGGCTGCTTTACTCATGTGGCTCACACAAGCGTCCTTCCACAGCACCTCGCCTGGCTGCTCCTAACCTCTGCTCAAAAACAGCGTGAGATGTTAGCACACCCTTAGCGAGCCACGCCCAACAGCATCTTCCATCACTCTTCGATGTAAAGCACACACACGTGGTGTTTTCTCGTCTACCGGCGTAATCATGATTTAACTCTCTTCTGTCTTTATGAGCAGCAGCCTGCAATTATGTCAGGTGTGGTGGTACACACTTTTGTTTTCTCTTTTTTACGAGACAGGGTTTCTCTCTGTAACAGAGCCCAGGCTGCCCTGGACTCACTTTATAGACCAGGCTGGCCTCAAACTCAAGAGATCCACCTGCCTCTGCCTCTCGGGTGCTGGGATTGCAGACGTGCGCCACCGCACCCAGCAGTGGTGCACACTTTTCATTCCGGCTTGCGGACAGGCGGGTATCTGTGAGTTAGAGGCCAGCCTAGTCTCCATGGCATGTTCTAAGTCTACTAGCCACTTCTATACAGAAAGACCCTGTGCCTACAAAACAAAACAAAAAAAAAGAACTCAAAAGGTTTTAAGAAAGACCCCAAAGTGATGTTCACTCTGTGGCCCGCCTATCTTTTTGTTTTGTTTTTGACACAGTTTCACCCTGTAGCTATGGCGAGCCTGGAACTTGGCTGGTCTCTAACTCAAGTGATATGCTTGCCTGTGCCTTCTGAGCGCTGGGATTACAGGTGTGCAAAATCGGAGGACAAGCTTTGGGAGCTGGCTCTCTCTTCCCGCCATGTGGGTCCTAGTGATTAAATCAGCCTTGTCAGGCTTGTTGGCAAGCACCTCACCCACAGAGCTATCTTGGAAGCCCAATCATATCTGGGCTTTTTGTTAAATTTATTTTGTAAATTATGTGTGTTTATGTGTGTTCATGTGGGGGTGGGGAAGGGGAAGGGTTATGGGCATCTATGCATTGTCCGAGGAGGCCAGAAAAGGATTTCAGGTCCTTGGAGCCGGGATTCCAGGCAGGTGGGCTGGACATAGGTGCTAGGAACTAACTCAAGCCTCAGGAAGAATGTGGTGGTTTGAACTGTGGCCCTCACAGGATCATATGAATGCTTACACATCAGGAATGGCACTATTTGAAGAGAACTGGAGGTGTGGCCTTGTTGGAAGAAATCCAGCTGTCACTGGGAGTGGGCTTTGAAGCCAGCCCCAGATGAAGATGGAAGTTCTAAGTTGCCTCACGATGACACACCTGCTGCCCTGCCCTCCACCACGATGACAGACTGAGCCTAAGTGTAGTAGGCTCCCAGTTAAAGGCTTTCCTCAGAAGCCTTGCCTCAGTCAGCGTGTCTTCAGAGCCAGAGAGCAGCGACTGGGACAAGCAGCAAGGGCTCTAACCACTGCGTGTAGTGGAGGCTTTGGTTTCCTTAAAACCCAGTTATGTTATGTGAACATGGTCTTATTTTAATCCCAAGTGTGGGATTTTGGTTTGTTCACAGCTGATAACTGCCTCACACAGAGGGGTGGTCTTTGCCAGCTGGAGTTAGTCGAATTCTGAAGACTTTGAAGGGGCTGCTTGCTGGCTTGCCAGACTTGTGGATTTCCTGACAACTGAGATTGGTATTGCCCCAAAAAGAATCCTATGACCCTAGCCAGCCAGAAGAAGTAAAGAGGTCTACAGCCCCTTTCCCTCCCAACTCCTCCAAACCCCAGGTCGGGGAAAAAAGAAGGTTGGAAGGGAGGTATAGGCTTTTAGGAAGCCCCAAATAGAGTAGCATCTGAAAACCTACAAAGGAGCCATCTCTCCAGTCAACCCCACCCCTTTCATTTGGACTGGCTTGAATTCACTACATAGAAATGCTCTCTCTACACACAGGCTGGTCTCAAACTCACAGCAATTCTCCTGTCTCAGTCTTTCAAGTGCTGGGATCAAAGACTTATAGCCCCATACCTGTTAAGCCACACTTTCTATTATGACTGAGATGTGGCAGTTTTAAAAGAACATCATTTTCTGCTTGAAAATGTAGAGAAATAGTTTTTGTGACATAACCAAAGAATGTAATACCTTAGAAAAACTTGAAATATATAATCATGAAAATATTTCCCTTTCAAAAATTAAATATCTGAGCATGAAGCATGCCATTTGATAAGGTGGGTGGGGCTTAAGCTATGACCTGTCTCAGGTCCTCACCCAGAAAAATCAGCCACCACCCAGCAGAATCTCATTTCCACCACTTACGTGCCCTCGGTAGAGTCTCCTTGAGATCTGTAAAATCAAAGCCCTACAAACCTAGGGGCCATACTGGCGCGCACACTTTCACGTGAGGCATAGGGTGTGAGGAGCTGATGGACATACCTGGGCCAGCAGCCGGACACAGGAACCGCTGCTCCTTCAGCAAGCTGTAGTTCCTCAGCAGGCTCTCGGCTCTGGCCAGCTTGTCCTCTGCGAGCCTCTCTCGAAGGCAAAGCTCACGTTCCTTCTCTTTAAAAAGGGACGGAAAGAGGAAAAGCAATGACTGAGGAGCCCTGGCTGTGACGCCAGCCAGGTCCGTCCGGCACCTCACTTTCCCTCTCATCACCGCCCTTGCAGGCTGAGCTCAGGGAAGGCTCCTGTAATGCTGCAACTCTTTCATACGGTTCCGCATGTTGCTGTGACCATAAACCATAAAGTTAGTTTTGTTGTTACTTCATAACTGTAATTTTCTAATGAATCATTAATGGAAATATCTGATACACAGGATATATTTTCATTGTTACAAATTGAACATAATGAAAGAATAGTGATTAATCACAAAACAGTATGTAATTACTCACTGTGAATTCACTAATTACAAATAAATGAAATTTTGATTGAAGCATGGTGTAGCATGGCTAACAGTCTTAATATAATAGTAAATTAAATCGCTATATTTTACCATAGTATGTGTAAAAGCCAAGGTCAATGCGAACATCGAGACGGCTTCTTTCTCACCAGATGAGAAATTCTCAGGGCAGTCTTTGCAAGGCCACCACAAAGACCACCTGCAAGTCTACATCTGTGTGTAGACTTGAAAACCAACACGCTAGCAACCGTTTCAGAGATACGCTGGAAATGGAGAAAGGCACAGCACAGCCTCCGGCAGAAGCGCCTGATCCAGAATTCTGACCTGGCAGCGCTGTCAGGAGGTTCAGCAAAGCCCTCTGTGCTCTCAGGAACACACTCAGCTCTGATGCAAGTGTCTCACAAGTGTGCACACGGGGCAGCAGGTAGACCTGGAGAACTGGATGAAATCTGTTGTCTGCAACCATCTTTCACAGGAACCTTCATCCTAATCCTTTTGCCTGGGTCAATATCATGTTCCTCAAAGTCGAAAGAGAAGGTAGGCAACATGCAAATTTTCTTTTCATCCAATTTTGCTGTTGTTGTTACCAAAGCTGAAGTTTCATTTGGAATGATCAGACCTTTTCAGGCAAGTCGAGGCATGTTATATTTGGTCCCTGCCGTGATAATTTAACTCATTCAAGATGGCAAACGTGTCAGCAAGTCACTGAGAAGTGCTTAAGAGCTGCAGTCTTGCTTTCTGATTAAGATCATTCTGAGTTCATCACGAAACTCAGACCCTCATTTGAAAACTTTTCCTCTTGACAACCATCTTCAGCATGAAATAGCAGAGCTCGCCTTTCCAGAATTGACAGGTGCTGTGATGCTTTTCATTTCCTCTTAGAACTCTTGGGGCAGTGTCCTCATTGCTAATGCTTGCTCCTGGATGATCCAGCGAGTTCTGACGGCTTTCGCTAATTCAGCCCCCGATACTAAACTCCAGGTGGACATCCCATCGTACCTGGAGCATTGTCTGTACAGACACCACCAACCTTTGTTTTTTCAGAAATGAGTCAACTGCGTCAAATAGATGGTATTTGTTAGTTGTGGTTTCAAGAGGTTTGCAGAAAAGAAACTCATCTTTCCAGTCACCATGTGAATATACTTCATGTAACCAGAAACAGTTAGCAACGACTGTAGATCCGTCAGGCCGACACTAAATATTAGAAGTGGAGATTTCATTTCCTGGATTAGCTGATCAAAGCTCTCAGCAGACAGGCATCACTCTTCAGCAGTGTCAACAGATAAGGAGCTTGCACCTGCATAACAAAGCTGTCCAGATCATAACATGAAAACGCCTTTGGCCACTGGCAACAGTAAATCCTCAGCAACGGTGTGAGCTGTCACAGCTTCAGTGGTTCCGAGTGTCACCAAACATGAAGCTTCAACAGCTGCCGCGTTTTGTTTGATACTTGCAGCCACCGTTAAGTCTGCCTTGCTTTCTTCTTCTTTTTACGGATTCTTTGTGACTTTCACATTATGTACCCTAATCTCACAACATCCGCCCTCCCACACTGCAACGTCCTGCCCAAAACAAAACATCTCTCCACCGAAGCTGTAGCGTGTCACTGTGTGCCACACAGTACAGCCTTTTGCCCAAACAGCTAAGGTACTTGCAAATGTTCATTGCAGTGAGTCGCTGGTCTGGTTCCCGGCCTCTGGTTTCTGGTCCACTGTCAACACTGCACCCTCACTGGCATGCCTCCGGGAACCCCTGTTGTTGCCCTGGGCCATGAAGACCCTACAGCTTTGGTCCTGCAGGACCAGCCCCTTCATTTGCTCCAGCACTTCAGAGATGGGGTAGATGTTGGGGTGGGCCAGCTCAAAGCCCTGGCTCTGGGCCTGGGTGGTAGCTGACTTGTTCTGACAGCCAGCTCTCCTTCACCAGCAGCACCAGGGCCAGCTGCTGGCACTGCCCCAATGAGAGGCGGGGCCAGCTCTGTGAGGCACTAGATCAATATGGCCCCAGGAGGCAGGGTCACGCCGCAGATATACACTTAGCTTTTGGAGGTAACATGGGCTGTGGACGTCAACGCAGACCCCGCTATTTCAGGACCACGGACCCAGAAGGGGCCAGGATCGCACCATGGCCCCAGGCAGTTTTCACCCCCTCTCCTCTCCTCATAATACCCTGTTCTGTTTCCCTCCCCCCCCCCCCCCCCCCCCCCCCCCCCCCCCGCAGTGGCTCTGGCAGGTGTGTCTCTGGCAGGCTGTCAGGTCTGGCCTTCTTGAGTCCATCAGCTTTGTTTCTAAAACAGTTGGTGTCCTTGCCAGCAATGCTTGGATGCTTGCTATCAAAATAGTTTTAGTTGTTTGGCTTTGTGGTTTCGGCTGCTAGAACTTCACCCCCCAAATAACAGCTGCGCTTTTTCCTCCTGCTGTAATCACTGAGGGGAGACCGCAGAGAATCCTCACTACGTTTTCTCAACATTCCACCTCACACGACCGTTGTCACGTGAATTCAATGAATTCAATGAATTCAATGAAAATAAAATTACTAAAGATACATGCAGCCAGTTGTTGTGGCACATGCCTGTAACCCCTGTACTCAGGGAGGCAGAGGCAGGTTGATCTCTGTGAGTTCAAGGCCAGCCTGGTCTACAGAGAGAGTCAGGACAGCCAAGGCTACACAGAGAAACCCTGTCTTGACAAAACAAAAACAAACAAAAAACTTAACCCCTCCCCCCCCCCCAAAAAAAAACAAAATAAAATTTGATACATGGAATAGTTCAGTCAATACAGTTCATTACCGTTTCCTACAACTGACATGGGGTGGCTCTACCTGACACTCCTGGCAGCAGGTGTCATGGAGACTGAAGAGGACATCTACTAAAAAGACAGGACTCTTAGTGGAGGGAGGGGAACACCAACCCACCCACAAAAACTTCAGCCCAAAAGGTAGAGCAGAGATTGAGGGAATGTCCAACCAATGCTAGCTCAACCGGAGACCCACCCCACAGCAAAGAGCCAACCTTGACACTGTTAACGATACTCTGCCGTGTGCACAGACAGGCGACTAGCGTGGCTGTCCTAAGAGGCTCCACCCAGATGTGAATCAAACCAGATGCTGAGACTCACAGCCAAACATTGGGCAGAGCGCAGGGAGCCTTGTGGAAGAATGAAGGCAAGGACAGAAGGGCCTGGAGGTGCCAGGAGCTCCACAAGACCACACAGCCAACTAACCAGGGCTTAGAGGGGCTTGCAGAGACTGAAGCATCAACCAAGGACCATACATGGACTGGACCTGGGCTCCTACACAGATATGGCCAATGGACAGCTCGGGCTTCATGTGGGTGCCCTAGTAAGGGTAATGGGGCTGACTCTGAAGTGGACTCTGTGGCCTGCTTTTTGACCACTTCCCTCTGGTGGGGCTGCCTCACCAGGCCACAGGGGAAGAGGATGAGGTCAATTCTGATGCCACTTGATTACCTGGGGTGGCTTGGTAGAGGGGGGCTCCCCTTTTCTAAGGAACAAGAGATGGGAGAGGGGAAGAGGGGGACCAGGAGGAGAGAAGGGCCTACAGCTGAGATGTAAAGTGAATTATTAATTTAAAAAGCTCCCTATGATTTGCCACTCTGATTTCTTCCATCCCTGTCGCTGTCACCGGGGTCCATGTTCACACCAGCTGATTATAAAGCCTGACCAGCCTCCAGACTCAGGTCCCATGGCACAGATATCTTTTTACAGGGGTTGATTTCACATTTACCCAGTAGTTACAACTCATGCAGGATCACCTCCAATACTGCTGCTTCCAACAAAGCAGGTGCTCTCCTTACACAACTATTCCCATAAATACATGATGGCGCCCACACTGTTACACATTCCGTTCTAAGTACGTGATGGGGTTGGCACAATCATGCCATCATGCCTGGTGGCATGGTACATGGGCCTGTTTGTGGGCAGACCCGCCTGGAGACAGACAGAAGAATTGAGTCTGAGTTCCTAAGACCATGGGAAATATGTGTTCTTTGATGGTCTTAGGTAACCCCTGTAAAAAGGTTGTTTGACCTCCAAAGGGGTCATGACCCACAGGTTGAGAAGCACTGGTATCTAAGGTGGTTCTGACAGGCTTGGTGACACAGGCCTGTAACCAAGCTACACAGAAGGCTAATGATGGACGGTCAGCCTGGGCAACTCAGACAGATCCCGTCTGAAAAGAAAAGGCTGGGATGTATGTGGGTATAATGTCTTGTGGAATGTGCACAATTACCCTTGTTCATTCACGTGCTGACTTCTTGACCCCACTCTCTGATTTCGATAAGTATTGTGAGGCTTATTCTAAGCATCACCTGTCTCAAGTTTGCTCTCTGTTTTGCCAATAAAACAACCAGCCAGTGCTGTGCAATGGAGAGAATGAGTGGGACATCCTGGTCCGGAGGGGAGGAAAAAGAAGCGAGTGGAAGGAGGAGAGCAGCGATCAGCAGGCCAGGACTTGTAACCAGGAGGGGAGACGAACCAGACCTAAGATATGACTAAAAGCAAGTATAATGTGGGAAGTCTCAATGGGAGGAAGCTATGCAGGCTTGGAGGTTTAGAATGGAGTAATTGTTGCCCAGCATTGTGCTCTAGGTTAACTAAATACATCCTAGTCTCTGTGTGATGATTTGGATATACAGCTGGTTTAGGAATAACTGCTGTTTAAAAGATAAATCAATAATAAATATTAATAATCATCAACAGATGGAGCTCACTGGTATTTGCAAAGCTCTGGGTTCAATCCCCAGTACTCACCAATAAAAAGAAACATGGGTCTCACGGGGCCTGAACACACCAGCTCTCCTGCTCAGACCCTGGCCACCTCCCACTGCAGCTGGGGTCCCCTCTGCCCCGGGCACTCACGCTCTAGGCTGTCCTCCCGAGCTCTGAGGGCGCGCTCTCGATCCTGCAGCTGCTTTTCCTTCAGCCTGAGCTCACTCAGCACTGGGCTGGAGTCCTGCAGCTTCCAGGGCCGGCCTCTCCTCTCCACATTTCTCCTCTGCTCTTCTGCAACCAAGTCTGCTATCAGCGGGCTCTCCAGGATCTCCTCCACTGAAGGTCGGTGGTAATCCTGGAGAAACAGTGTGGCGGGCAGGTCAAGCATCTTAAGTCAGGAGGGTAAATGAGACAAGAGTCAGCTCCTGCTTCTAGAAACACGTGGTTAAACATCTGGAAAGACAAGCTGACTGTTACAAGGTCCCAGCTCTGCAAGAGGATGCAGGTTTTAGCTCCCCCTTCCCCTTTCTCATTCCTTCTAAGGAGCGGGCTCCGGCCCGCTCCTTACACCTGTCCGCACACCTGCACACACTTGGCAGCCCTGGGGACGTGGACCTAGCTCCCTAAAACCCATTAAGGACACCCTCACTGACCATCAACCTAATCACTCCCCCGTACCCTCCCCAACCCCACAGCACCCACTTGCACTCTTCCCTCGTCTACACCAGGAACCCCTTTCGCGGGTACCCCAACTCTGTTCCCTTCCCCTTCCCCGGTCTCTAACCCCTTGGGGTGAAGAATAGGAAGGCCCCATTTCTGACAGGCCTTCTATCAACCCTTCCACGAGCTAAACATCGGTTAGTGTGGCAGGTGCACGGAAAACAGCAAGTGAGGCACACAGGTGTTAAGGTGCTTCCACCCCTGCCAACACAGCATTTACCCGTCAGTGCAGACTAGGCACTCCGCAGCTCCCCAAGAGCCAGAAGTGCACAAGGGCCTTGCAGCCGTTACCTTCAGGCTGAGCATCCGCGTGATGAGGTCATTCAACCCATCCGAGTAGCGGTACGGGATCCGCCTGAATCTCCCTTCTCTGATTTTCCCAGCTAACTCTGTCTGGTTGAAGGCTGTAAAGGGAGGCCTGGGATTTAAGAAAGAAAAAAGAGGAAAGAGAGAGAATGGAGGTAAGAGGGGGCAAGAGGGAAGTTTTAAATGTTAACTGAACTCAAAAACATGGATAAACCAGTGGCTGGGCTTCGCCTGGAATTCTGTCCTCATCTGGGACGCTCTTCTGTGGTCGCAGTCCTGTGACCTCCCTCAGCCTGCCAGCAGTGTCAGGGTCCTGCCTAAACTTAGGGTTCCGCAGCGCCCTGGCTCCTGCTCCCAGGTCCGAAAGGATGCTCACACTGTCTCCATGTGATGGCGAGTCTGCCCTCCATCCCTGGAGCACAGCTCAGGAGCAGAGGAAAGGGTCAGGGCTTGAAGCCTCCCCTGTCCTCCAGAGCCCAACCTTCCCCAGCCCTGCGCTGTCAGCCTGTCTGTAACCTCTGCCTGGAGCCACGTGTCAGTTTCCCTGGAAACGCTGATCCTTGAATAAGCAGGATGGACCCATGGCCCAGTCTCAGTGTGTAGGCGCTGGCGTGCTTTGTTTTCAACTTGTCTCTAACTCAATTTTAACAGGGCCTGAACTCTACACACTCACGTTAGTGCACACAGTTCATAGAGCAGGGCTCTCTACACTCAGGTTAGCACAGGTTAGCTCTTTACACTCACATTAGTGCGCACAGCTCGTACAGCAGGCAGCCCAGTGACCAGATGTCCGACTTCTCGTTGTAGCTCAAGCGGCTCATTTGCTCCTGGAGGGAAGAAAGTGCCAGGACTGAGAGCTCGCTCTCACACTTTCTACCCGAGGCCGGTACGCAGCTCAGCTGGCAGAGTTCTTGCTGAGCACGCACAAGCCCTGGGCTGGATCTAAGCACAAAATAAACGTGTAGCTGGGCATGGTGGCACACGCCTGTACGCTCAGCCCTCAGGAGGCAGGAGGATTGCTGTGAGTTCGAGGCCAGCCTGGTCTACAGTGAGTCTGGGACAGCCAGGGCTACACAGAGAAACCCTGTCTCAAAAAACAACATAAAAAAGTTAAATTTTTTCATCTGTAGCAAAAATTTTCAAAATTTCATATCAGAAGACTAATGTAGCTTAGACTACAGTAGAAGATGGCATCTTCTGCTTTGTCCTCACGTTTATAACAGGAAGAGCAATGCTCTTGTCCTGGCAACTTTATCACACACAATTCATTCACTCTTCTCACGTCCACAAATGTTTGTTCTGTGCTCAACAGGGACAGTTCACAGCTGAGCGCGAGAGAGAACATCTCTCTGATGTTCAGCAGGGATCAACACCACTTCACTGTTTTGTCTAGGACAGGGGTCTCAGAGTCCCGAGCTCAGGCACCTGCGGCCTCCACCTAGCTCAGACTACAAACAGTTGCAGGCACCCGCTGGAGACTCCATCCTAAAGATCAGACACACCTGTAATCCAGCACCTGAAAGGGGGAAGCCAGGGGGTCAGGTGTTCAAGTCACCCTCCATTAAACAGCAAGTTCATGGCCAGCCTGGGCTACCTAAGACACTGTCTCAAATAAACAGGAGCTGGAGAGATGGCTCAATGGTTAAAAATACTGGCTGCTCTTCCAGAGGACACAGGTTCAATTCCCTGCACCCACACAGCGCCTCACAACCGTCTGTAACTCCAGTTACAGAGGGACTATGACACCCTCACACTGACATACACTCAGGCAAAACACCAATGCACATAAAATAAAAAATAAAAACAAACAAAAGAAATCAAAGCAGGGGCTGGAGAGCTGGTTTAGTGGCTGAGGGCCCGGCAGTTACAACCTCCTGTAACTCCAGGGGAAGCCAGGGCCCCTTCTGGCCTCCAAGAGCAACACACACATTTTCTAAATCAAATGAGTTATGGAGTTAAGTAAAACATGCATCTAACTCACGTCTCAGCAGGCACATGTACAAAAACCTGTGTGTGTGTGTGTGTGTATTACACACTCAGCCCACTGTTATAAACCACAGCAGTAACTAACACTCCTCACTTCACTTCCCCAGCTTACGCCTCAGGGAAACTCAATTCCAGTCACAAGGGCAGGTGGGAAAAGGAGGCCCAAAGGGACCGTGCAGGTGTGAACGTCTGGGAGATTTCCCTTTGTAATCAAGTTTTCTGTGTGGAACACGACACCATGGGAAAGCCACCCTGCTCTGAAAATAGAGCCAAAATAGATATATAATTAGTGTAATTATATATCTAAAAACTCTGGGAATCTCTGTGTACCAACGAAGCTCCTGCTTGTTACACACTCACACAGCTGCCCATTATAGACTCAAGGTTGGTTGATGTTTTCTTTATGTACTTGTTTGTTTTGCTCTTGTTTTTGGAGACAGGATCTCACCACATAGACCAGGCTGGGATTAAACCCATGCCCTGACCTTGACATCTAACGCCAGATAAAAACTGTCATGCCCTTGCCCCAGTAACTTTTCTACAACCCAATTATCAGAGATGAGGAATAAGCCATACAAGGATGTGCACAGAGGGTGCCTAGGGATGGGGACATTGAGGAAACTCTGAATGCAGGCAGAGCTGCAGCAAGAACAGAACATGCACAAAAATTAACACTGTAAGAACAGGAGGCCTGCGTGAGGAGGCCTGAGCCTCACCGAACAAGCTTACTGTGACAGTGAATATCCGACAGTATCTAAAATCACCCAGACACAAATCCCCACGTCCGTCATCACGTGTAGACTTAGCCAGGAAGAGCCTCACTGCTAAGTGAGAGCAGCGCTCCTCCCTGGGCTTGGGTCCTAAGCAGCACACGCAGCAGTAAGGCCGCGTGCATTCTCCTCTGCTTTCTGCACATATGTGACCAGTGGCCTCCAGGTCCTGCACTTTCACCTAGGGCCCAGGACTCTGAATTTAAAAAAAAAAACAAAAAACTCCCAGGGGAGGGAGGGTCTGGCTTAAAGTGCTCAGGACGGCCGCCTTGGGAAGCACTGCTGCCTTAAACAGTTTCAGCTCCGTGACCCTGAAGCTGGCACCATGCTCATTTCAGAGCAACACAGAAGCAGGGTGTGGCGGCCGGTGTACGCCTTTAATCCAGCAGAGGCAGAGCTCTGCGAGCTCCAGGCCAGCCAGAACTACGCCGTGAAACCCTGGGAGGTGGGGCACTCTCGGCGGCCAAGAGTCCCACACGACAAAGCTCACACCCAACCACAACTCCAGCTCCAAAGACTCCAGTGCTGCCCTCTGACCCCGTAGGCATGAGGCACACACGTGCTACGCTCAGACACATGCAGACAAAACGCACACACACATAAATAAGTCTTCAGCTTTTTTCTTTTTAAAGCTCTGGTTGAAATCAGAGAAACTGAATGGCTAGGAGGTCCTTTTGAAGAAAACACATCTACAGCTAGAGAGAGGTGCAGACAGAGGTCAGAGGTGTCAAGCTCCTGGTGCTCTTCCAGAGGACCCGAGGTCAATGCCCAGCATCCATGTCAGGTAGCTCACAATTGCCTGAAACTCCAGCGTGAGTGTGTGGGATGGCTGAGTCCAAGGCCTCTTCCAGCCTCCACCATCACACTAGCACACACGCACAGCACACTCACAAGACACACACATTACGAATAGATGAACAATAAAACTTTTAAATATATATTATGTATAAAAGAATTTGGGTTGTAGCTCGGTGGTATAGGTACTTGCCTCAAATGCCTGAGGGCCTAGGATCAATCCCCAAAACTAAGGGAAAAAAGCAAAAAATAAAAACGGTAAAACTGTACTGTGAATTCTAAGCTAATGGATTTATCAGCAACCCAGGCCTCGGTTTCCTTGCATCTGAATGATTTGCCTAAGATATTAAAAAGTTAAATTCTGGGCCAGTCATGGTGAGCAGGAGGATCTCTGTGAGTCCAGCCTGGTCTACAAAGCAAGCCCAGGACAGCCAGGGCTGTTATACAAAGAAACCCTGTTTTGCACAAGGCAAAACAACAGAAGCTACGTCCTGAAATACTCACAGGAGACATGTAATAAGGGGTGCCGACAAACGTCTTTGCGAAGCTCGTGTCGTGGTTTAGTATTCTAGCCAGCCCAAAGTCCCCGAGCTTGACGTTGTTCTTGCCATCCAGGAAGACGTTGGCCGGCTTCAGGTCCCGATGGAGCACCGTGTGGCCGCCATCGCTCCTTCTGTGACACTCTTTCAGGGCCAGCGTCAGCTGTGTCATCACTCGAAGGACAAACTCTTCCTCTAAGTATTGCCTGGAGCAAGCACACAGTTTATGATCCTGAATCCAGGACAAATCACTTACTCTTTCAAAGTGTACAAACCTGGAAGCAAGTTCTCATTAGATATAAAACGTGGATATTGATTGGCTAAGGGCTTGCCAACACAGCGTGCAGTCACCAAATACAAGAACATCCGACCTACCTTATTACCTCCCTGTTCCCAACAGACTGTGCTAACAACAAAACCAGACCCATACAGCTTACGGGGAGCTACCACTGACCTGTCCTTGGTCCCCTTTGTAATGATGCTAGCCAGGTCCCCTCCTTCACAGTATTCCATCACGATGTACAGGGTCGTGTTGGTTCGGTCGATAATCCGATCATAGTAACGGACAATGTTGGGGTGTTTCAGCTCCCGAAGCAGGTTCACTTCAGACACAAGCATCTGCTTCTCCACCTCCGTCATGGAGCCATAGTCAAGCTCTTTCCACACCAGTATCTGGAAGACAGCATGTCCACGTGTGAGCGTTTGTTATCGGCGGAGGCAAAGAATGAAATTTCCAAACTCGGAAAGGAAAAACACTGCCTCGGGTCCAACATACATCCTGCGACTCAGGGTCAGCTACGGTGGTTAATTCTGTCAACTTGACAGGATCTGACGTCTCCCAGGAAGACAAGTCAGGGAGGGTCAACTCAAGCGGGGAGGCCCACCCTAAGGGTGGGAGGCACCGTTCCCTGGGCGGGAGCCCTGGGCAGGTCAGCGGAGCGCACGAGCTCGTCCCTCCGCTCCGGGAGACCGAGCGACCACGGTCCCGCCGCGCCGGCCTCCGCCGGGCCCTGGCGGGGCTCAGGCGGCGCGGCCCTCCCCGCCGGCCAGCCTCACCTTGCCGTCGCTCTTCCTCCGAATCTTCTGGCAGCGGCCGTAGGAGCCGGTGCCGATGCCGTGCAGCACCTCGTAGTCCTCCACCCGGGACGGCATGGCGAGCGGACCCCGCCGGACCCCCGCCGCGCCACCGGCTGCCCGCGCCGCCCGGAGCCGCGGCTCGGCCCGCAGCCGACGCACCCAGCGCCGCTCAACCGCCGCGGGCCGAGCCTCGCCGTCTATTGGTCCACAGCGAAGGCGCATCCGCGCCCCGATTGGCCGAGGAAACACAGCGCCGCTGAGCCTCTCGGGAAAGGCTGTGTCGCTAGGCGACCGCGTCGGCGAGGCTGCGGGCGCCCCGCTGAGGCACGGAGCACGCGCGCCGCGAACCCGCGCCCGCTGCGGATCGCCGAGCCCGTTGGGCCTCCGTAACGCCACCCCTCCGCCCTCGTCGCCAAGGTAACGGCGCTCGCTGACCTCCAGCCCTCGGCGCTCGCCTTGTGACCTTTGCACTTTGACCCTCGGCACACAGCTCCTGAAGCTGAGCCGGTGAGAGTTGAGGACGCTGGGGGACGCGCTGAGCACTTTCTTCTTCTCAATATAAAGCTGGAGCGCAAGAATCCCTGTTCCAGCCGGGCCTGGTGGCTCATGCAGGCCTATCTCTGTGGGTTCGAGGCCAGCCTGCTCTACATAGTAAGTTCAAGGACAGCAAGAGGGGAATGAGCCCGGCAGAGTTCCTGTTCTTCCTATGAAGAAACGGAACTTGGCTCAAATCACTTGCTACGCTCAAAAGAGAACTGATGAAAACACTTTTTAATTTTTATTTTTCATTATTTGTTTATTTAGGTATTTCTGTGATCCACCTGCCTCTGCCTCCCAGCGTGCTGGGATTACAGGCATGTGCCGCCGCGCCCGGCTAAAACATTTTAAGAAATGGATATTCATGGTAATAACGTGAGCTGACATGTCAGTTCTGGGCACAGCTACCGTAGCCTGTGTCTCTGTACAGTAAAGCGAGAGCCTTGTTCAGCTCATCCGCTTAGGATCAGCTTTTACTTCTAAGACGTGTGCCAGAAAGTATGTCAGGAAAGAGCGTTCCTGACTGGCCTGTTGGTGCTGCCCTCACTCACTCAGCCACCGACTGGGCCCAGCCAGCTGCTGAGGCAGCCCACGCCCTGGAAGGGGCTCAGGCTCGGCTCCTGCAGGCCAGCCGGAGGACAGCGATAATCCGGAGCGTAAGCAGGCCACCGTCCTGAAATAGCTGACCAGACGAGGCCGGAGAGAGCCCGCTGTCCCGCTAATGAGGACCCAAGCCTCCTTACGGTAAAAATAAAGAGCGCGCCTCGTGCCCTGGTTTAGTGGCAGCTGATTGGCACTGCGGCCAGGAGAGCGCTTAAATTAACACTCAAGGACACTGGCTCGCCTCACAGAAGCAGGGTGAATTCAGACCCCTGAGGTTACGTAAGGAGTAAGAGCCTGAGGCCATTTACGCGGCGTGTGCTGTTTGTGTCCCCTGTGCTGTACGTGCTGTTCCCGGTGTGCGTGTGGTGTGTACGGGGTACGTGTGTGGTGTGTGTAGTGTTTATGTGTGGTGTTTGTGATGTGTGTATTGTTTGTAACGTGTGTCGTGTGTACACGCATGTGATGTGTGTACAGTGTGGTTGTGATGTGTGGTGTGAACAAGCATACATGTGTGTAATGTGTGTTACCTGTGTGGTGTGTGGTGTTTGCGAAGGGTGGGGTGTGCGTGTGTGCACGTGTTGTGGCCGCTCGGCCTGGAAGTACGAAGAGGTGCGTTCGGCCGCAGTGACAACAGTACTAGGGTGGTGCAGGTCAGCCTGGCGCCCGCCCGTGGAGCGGTGCCCTCCCGGGTGGAGCCTCACCTCGGCTCCCCCGCAGGCACCCCGCATTCCGCGCCGGCGTCGGGGAGAGGTGGGGGAGCGGGGCCCGGGGGACACAGAGCCCCCGCAGCCCCCGGCCCCGGCCCGGGTCGGCTTCCGATGTTGCCCCAGCTTTCTCCTTCCTCCTGCGCTAGGCTGGGCGGCGCCTGCCTCTGCTCCCAGGACCAGGACACGCCAGGCTGTCCTCGGAGCACTGACACGGAACGCCCACTGGGGGGCGGCACACCGCTGCGTAGTGAGCACACGCGCGGACTCCGAGGCCGCCCCGGAGCCTGTCTGGGTGGGTCTGGTCTTGGGGCAGGTTTAACTCTGCTAACGTTATTAGTAACTTCTCTCCATCAAAGAGGCTCCTCTTCACAGCAAGTGCAGCGCGACACAGGAAAGCCACAACTGGACACAGGTGAGGGCCAGAGCACTAAGGTGCCGGGCTGTGAGTCAGTCTCTCCTAGGACGAGGAAGAACAGTCCACCCCGAAGCCCGAGTGTGTTCACACGGAAGGGGAAGTTTTCTCCGCCCTCTAAACAAAGTGCTACAGGCCGGGAGAGAGTTACCCTAGCTGGGAAATGAGCGCTGGGCCGGCTGTCCAGGGCAGAGTGGTCAGCCTGGGAACCGTACACACAAACAAGGAAGACAGACCCGGCAGGCTGAACTCATATGCTTTTGTGTTTGCGCATAGTTAGATGTGTGTGCAGCAAAATCAAAGAAAGGGGGTCGACCCAGGGGGCGGGGCATGGGAGGGGCAGAGGGATTGTAACTGTAAAGCACAGTGCGAGTTGAGTAACTTGCAGAAGGGGACACTGGCAGGTAAGCCGACAGTGGCAGGTGCTGTGGGCAGGACAGAATGCCGACTGGGCAGAGTGACAGGCAGCTGTAAGAAGACGATGAGGAGAACCTGGCTGGGGGCCCTTTGTGTGGTTAGGGCCCCACAGTGTTTTAAACAGGGGCAGTTTCAGCTTTGCACACCAGAATACAAATCAAGGAAAAAGGTTTTTGTTTAACACAAACAGAGATAAACAACACACCTGTTTTGTGTGTGTGTGTGTGTTATTTATAATACTATAGCTTTTTAAAATATTTTTAAATTGTGTGTGCATGTGTGTGTGCGTGTATGCATGCCCTTGGAGACTAGAAGAGGACAGCAGGTCCGCTGGAGCTAGAGTCTGAGTACTGGGTCTTCCCACCCCAGATTCACATGCTGACCCCGGCCCCAGGGTGAAGGCGCAGAGGCCTGTGGGAGAGCTGGGCTGGGCCCTGTGGCTGGGTGGTCTAGAGCGTGAAGGCCTCCTGCACCCGAGTACACATTAGCATCATCCTGGAGGGCAGGTCGTCGGCATGACCAGCCAGCACCAGACGTCTTGGCTGTGCAACAGTGAGGACTGCATTTCGGATCACCCAGGCCCCAGCGTCCCTCTGTAGCAGCCCAGACTGTAGGAGCCTGCTAACAAGTGTGCAGAGGTTTCGGGAGGAGGCCTTGTGAGCGGCTGTGAGCAGGGACTGCGGCCGGGAATCAGGAGCTGTGTGGCCCTGGAGACTCGTCTCTGAGCTCTGCAAAAATAAAGGCTTTAAGCTGGAGACCTCAAATGACCCTCGTAGCTTTAAATGCTTTGTGCTTCTGTGCTCACGTGGGAACTCTCCACAGCTGCCCTGTGCCCTGCCGCAGGCAGCTGTGGAGTCTGGAGAAGCTTCCTCACCTCCATCCTCCTCTTTTTCAGTTTTGTTCAGCTGGTATGGTGGCATGAACCTTTAATCCCAGCACAGGTAGTTGGGTTCCTGAAGGTTTGAGGCCAGTCTGGTCTACATAGTCCCAGAGCAGCCAGAGCTGCATAGAGATCCTGTCTCAAAAATGAAGGAAGAAACAGTGTCTTTGTTGATTTGTTTTATGTGTTATAGGTGTTTTGTCCATGTGTGTGTGCACAGTGTTTGCTTGGTTCCTTTGTGACTAGAGTTGTGAGCCACCGAGTGGGTGCTGGGAACTGAACCTGGGCAGTCTGAAGAGCAGCCATACCTTCTTGGTTTGTGACTGTTAGCACAGTGCTATGGGCCACAGGAGGAAGGACAGGGAGACAGCAGCGCTGACCAGAAAGGGGGGTGAGATTCAGCTGGGCCGCTTCCTCCTCTCAGTGTGTGGTGGCTCTGCCCAGACACCCAGCCGAGCTTGGTGCTCGGTGCGGCAGGTGGCCCTGGGGAGGAGTCACGGGAACGAGGAGGTCTGGGGTGGAAGCATGGAGGTGTGCAGGGCCTGTGGGTGGGTGGGCAGTTGGCTGCACGGGGCCTGCCCTCAGTGAGCCGGGCGTGGCGCCGTACACAGGGAGGCCCTCTGCCGAGCCCAGGGGCAGCCGTGAGCAGCGAGCCCGACCGCAAGTGTGTTCTGGAGAGGAGTGTGCCCGTGCGGTGATACAGCCCAGCAGCTGCAGAGAGATGTGACGCCATATACGGGAAGGGACAGCCCTCACAAAGCCTGGGTCGGATGTGACGTGTGAGAAGCTGTGTGGTGGGTACGTGAGCAAGACCAGCGCTGGCTTAGGTGAGTGAACAGGTTGTGCTGGCACGGGAAGAGATTGGAGAGCACGGCTGTGCCTGAGGGTGTGCAGGAGGCAGGCCATGGCACAGTGAGGAGAGGTGGGGAGGGAGCCTGCTGGAGGCTGCTGTGACTAGGAGGAAGAAAAGTCAGCGAGGAAGGCCAAAGGGTGTGTGTGTGTGTGTGTGTGTGTGTGTGTGTGTGTGTGTGTAGTAATGCATAGCCAGGCTCCCTCAGTGGAGAAGGTTAATGGCATAGGAGGGGCCAGATGTGGAAGCCAGAGCACACCAGATGTGTGGACACACAAACACAAACACGGCTCTCACTCCGAGAGCACACAGGTCTCTCCCAGAGCTGTTTCAAGAGGGATGGGGCAGCAGCTGGAGGCGGGATCACAGCAAGGTCAGGTGGTGAGGAGGCTGTTGGGATGTGCAGACACCCTGGCTGCCTTCCAGGACCTACTTGGCCACCTTTGCACTGGGAGAACCAGGCCCGTCCCCTACCCCAAAAGTCACCAGTCCCAGGAACTAGGCCATAAAATTCCCAACCCAAGGAACAGCCCGGAGGTAACCACAGAATGGGAAGGCATCTTATCTCAGGGTGGGGCGTCTATGCTGGGCAGCCCACCCACCTAACATTCCAGAGGTCTATAGATAGCTCCCTCGATGTTAGTCATGCTAGTTAGCCAACCACTCTGTAACAGGCTTGCCCTTGCTGAATGTCACCCAATTGTGTAACTGCTAAGCTGGACTTGCCCAAACCTTGCAGTAACCCTGAGTAAAAACCCCTCTCTCCCTGAGCTCAGGCCTCTACACTCCAGAACCGATGTGTCCGGTGACGGTGTGGGCAGAGATAAAGACCTTACTGCGTTTGCATCAGAATCGGCTCCTTGGCGGTCTTTGGGGTCCTCGAGACTTATGCCAGGGCTGGCGTCCTCCATAAAAGCAATTTCAGGTTACACGCTTGTCTCTGCCCAACCGGCTGCCATCTCCACTGATCTGAACAGGGCCAAGTGAGTGGGGAGGCTGGTTAGGGAGCACCGCCTGCATTCTCTCCAACAGGGAACTTGTTCTGACTTCAGTGGGCGGAACCAAAGTTCCCAGGGTAGGTGCTGCATGGAGAGCACTTCAGGAGTTGCGCACTGCCTTGCTCCTTCTCCGGGTGGAGCTTTTTGTTTTCAGTCCCTGTGGGTGAATGTGTGCACGTGTGGTGTTCACTTCAGCTCTCTGGAACTGGAGTGTTGGATGGTTGTGAGCCAGCGTGTGGGTGCTGGTCCCCTAGAAGCACTCTTAGCCACTGGGGCTGGAGAGGGCCGCACTTGGTGCCGCCTCACCCTGGGCTCTGGAGCCATTGTGTCAGCCTCAGCTCTGGCCTCACCAGAAGAGCCAGGCCAGGCAGGGTCCCTTTCCCACCAAGGAGCAGGTGTCAGTGCGTCCACAGTGCCACTCTCTCCTCTCCTCCAGCCTACTTCCTCTCTGTCTTTCCAGTCTACCCCTCAGCTGCTTGTGTGGGCCCGAGGCTCTGAGGCTCTGGAGGGGCACCTGGGAGGAAGGAGACTTCTCCAGCGGCCTGAAGACCCTGTCCTTCCCGTCGCTGTCCCCGGGACTCAGTGCTGGCCTCAGACAGCAGAGGAAGCACGTCCTCTTGTCTCTTTTCCAGGAAAGGTCTAGAAAGTCCTTGGAGAGGACCTGCCTCGAAGCCTCCAGTGAATTGTGAATTTGGGCTCAAGCCTCCACTTCTTTGTTGGTTCATGGGTTAAGAGAGCGTGGCTAGATATCTCTCTTAAAATCACAGCTCAAACCCAAAGCACAAAGAAGCCGGAATGGAGCACACAGAGGACCTGGGGAAGGGGCTATCTGGGGCATGAACCGCTCAAGTCCACCCTTTTCATGGGGCCCAGGCTGGCTTTGAACTCACAAGCTGCCTTCCTGTTCCTTCTGCTCCAGCCTTCAAGGTTTGGGATTACAGACGTGTAACAGCACAGCAGCTAGAATCATGTTTTTAAAGGCTGGAGAGATTGCTCAGTGTTGCAGAATATTTGATCTCATTGTGAACCCCGAGATTGTAAGCTGTAAAACCCTGTTTCTTGATTGGTGTGGCTGAGCCCTAACACACACCTTTAATCCAAGAGCTTTCTGCACACAGGATTTAGTAAAGTTAGCCCTAGGTCAAGAGGCGGAGGGAGAAACCAGCTGACAAGGATTAAAGAGTAGGAGGGACTTCCAGTTGAGGGGTATTTAAGACAGCACGGGGAGAAGAAGAAGGAGTTTTAGCTCTCTGGCTTTGTGGGGTTTGGAGCTTTGAGCTAGCAAGGCTTCAGCCTTGGGATTTTGGTCTTTTCTCCTGGGCGGTCAACTGAGCTATGTGACGTGGCTGGTGTGGCCTGTGGAGCTGAGTGTGAGAGCCACAGATGCGTTAGCTCACACTCCTCACCACTTACACGGCCATGGCTGGCTAGTGCCTGTTCCCTTTTGCCAGGAAAGAAAACCAAGGCTGCAAGCGGTTAACTGTCACCCGTCAGGTCCCAAACCACCTCTCAGATGAAGCAGGAAGCACAGATGACAGGAACACCACACTTGCCCAAGGTTTGCCCCGTCTCCCTAACCCTGTCCCCACACCCACACCCAAGCCACCCAGCCTTCAAGGACACAAACCAAGGGCGTGAGCCTGGCTTGGGGGGTGTGCTCACGGAGGCTGCAGTGGGGCTGGCTCGGGGGAGGGGATGCAGGTGGGAGCCAGCGTCAGCTGGACAAAAGCTGTAACCTCAAAAGCCCGCTTTCAGCCTGACTGTTGACCTCTGCAAAGGGGAAGCCACACAAACACCAACCTGACGACCATAGCAGGGAACCTCTGCCCATCATGAAGCCAGGCAGGACTCAGCTCCAGAAACTATGCTCTCAACGCTCTCTTCACAGCTTTCCTATAAATGCCAAACTCCTCAAAACCAGCATGAAGGTGCCTGGCAGATGCCTCGCAAGCCTGGCAACCTGAGTTTGAGCCCTGGAACACATGGAAAGGTGTGGGGAGAGAACCGGACATCACAGGAGTGTCCAGCGGCACTCACCCCTACACAACACACACACACACACACACACACACACACACACACACACACACACACACAGAGGGAGGGCATTTAAACAAAGCCTATAGGACCTGGCTAACTCAGCTAACTCAGCATGCCCAGGGCCCTGACTTCAGGGCTGAGCTCCTAAATTAAACAACAGACAAATAAAAAAGGAAGTGGAGGGCGTCCACCCACCTCAATGTAGACTTTGTGACCCAAAGATCATGAGGCTCTCTGACACTTCTTGTCATCCTGGGAGCCTCCAAGGGCTGGCAACGTGTTTGTGACAGCTAGTTCCCAGGCAGGAAGGCCTGCAGTCCTCCTGTGGGCCACCTGCCTCCTCCAGGCAGAGCTAGAAAGGAAATGCTGAGGTGACCCCTGGGCTGGCCCAGGCTCAGCATCTGCCATACTGAATGGGCGGGACCGGAGCACCAGGAAATGGAAAAGCTGGGCTGGCACTCAGCTTGGCCAGACCACCTGCTCAAATCTCTGCTCCAGAAATGGAGGAGCATGTGTTCCATCTGATTCTATAGGTCAAAAGCTTCCCTGGGCCCCGCCCTCGGATATAGTTTGTCACAGCATCTTGGGACCCTACCTACATGGCAAACTTGATTCTGCAAGTTCTCAGAATCAAACCAGGGCTGGCCAGAGTGTGGCTGCACCCAGAGAGAATGTGTGCCATTTCAGATGTGCAGCTGGGAAGCTCGCCCAACCTGCTGAACTCGCACCCACAGCCTGTGCAGGGTGGAGGCCACGATCGCTTAGATCGCTTATCGAGGCGCTTCCCCGTGGCACCGCATTCTCTGCAGGCCACCTGGACAGGAAGGCCAGGCAAGCTAAGTGCTGGCCAAAACAACTGCCAGGGAGATAAAGTGTCTGCAAAGCGCTGTGCGGGGGCTCAGTGGCGGAGCACCTGCCTGGCTTCCATCACCAGCTTGGCAAGAGAAAACACTGAGGCGGAGGAAAAGGAGAAGAGACCTACGACAA